AACAAGACCTTGGAGCTTATTTCTCGAGATTTTTGGTGGCTCCAAATGTGGAAGGATGTGAAAGATTTTGTCCTCTCTTGTGACATCTGTTCAAGATCCAAGAATCCTCAGCATCGCCCTTATAGACTCCTACAGCCATTGCCTATTCTACGTCGACCATAGTCTTCAGTTTCCATGGACTTCATCACGGACCTTCCATCATCGAACTCATTTGACAGCATCTTTGTCGTAATAGATCTGCTTACAAAGATGGCGCACTTTGTTCCTTGCAAGAAGACATCGTCCAGTGAAGTCACAGCAAGGCTCTTTCTCGATAATGTGTATCGATATCATAAACTACCAAATGATATCATATCAGATCGAGGAACCCAGTTCGTATCAAAGTTTTGGAGATCTCTCTTTGAGATACTGAAGGTGGATATCAACTTTTCTTCGGCTTTTCATCTTCAAACTGACGGCCAAACGGAACGGGTGAACCAAGTCTTAGAACAATACTTACGATGCAGCATCAACTATCAGCAAGATGATTAGACTACATATCTACCGCTAGCCGAGTTTGCATATAACAACACCCTCTATGCGTCGACTCAATATACACCATTCTTTTCCAACTATGGGTACCATCCGAAGCTTGATTTATTGAGTCTGTCAACAAATAACAATCTAGCAGCTGAAAGATTTGCCAAACAACTATCAGAGCTTCAAAATATGTTGAAGCTTTAATTACAATCCGCTCAAGAATCCTACAAGGCTTCTGCAGATAGATTTTGGAATCAAGCACCTACTTTCAAAATTGGAAATAAAGCATGGTTTCTTCGATGGAATATCAAGACCAAGTGACCATGTGATAAGTTGGACTATCGAAGATTGGGACCATTTATCATTCAGAAGCAAATCAATCCAGTGGCGTACCGTTTGGAATTATCGGCTTCTATGAAGGTACATCCAGCCTTTCATGTTTCTCTGTTAGAGCCTTATCGAGAGTCGTCTTTTCCTGGAAGAGTACAATGTCCGCCAACTAGTATTGAGATCGAGAACAATGAAGAATACAAGGTTGAAAAGGTACTGGATTCTCGGCAAAGATGGGGCAAGTTGGAGTATCTTGTTCATTGGTGCAGCTACGACATTAATGAGCGCACATGGGAGCCAGCTGAAAATCTTCCCAATGCGTCACAAAAGGTACAGGAGTTTTATCAACAACATCCTCATAAACCTAAGCCGGTTCAACGATAGCTTCCTTCTGAAGCTTGCTCACCCAAAAATATAAGAAAGGGGGAGAACACCACCAAAATTCGTAGTTGATGTAGTTATTTTTTCCAAGATAAAATAGAATTTTTTCAGTAGCCATAGTTTGGTCTTCTGATATGGATAGCCAAGAGATAGATACTATGCTAGTCAGATTATCTCAACAGTCTAGCTCACGAAGGCGACTCCGAGATGAAGAACCGCCTACACCACGACGATGACGGAGGATACCGAGTAACCGATCACTGGTGATTGTATTTGAGTCCGAGCCTCCTTACGATGGTCAGCCAAAAGGCGTGTTTGTTGGACAATTTCACAATGAAGACACGGAAGTTCATGCTTGGTCAAAAGTTGAAGGAGTGAGCGACTATCGTTGGCTTCAAGGGCCAATGAACCACTTGTCTCGTGAACAATAGTTGGAGTTCATAGCAGACGTTATGCTACAGATCTTCATTTTCTTGCGTTGGTACTGATTAACAACAACATTGCTTCTCAGAGACCTCGAAGCTAAAAGAGGGGGTGATGTTAGAGAGATAGTCCTTAGAACCTTCTAGAGATAAGTTTCTAGAACCTTCTAGAAGTAAGTCTCTAGAACCTTCTAGAAGCTTCCTAGTTGATAGAAGTTGCTTAAGAAGCTTCCTAAATATGAGTATATATTGGAATCGAGGCTGAAGAGTTCTTTAGTCTCGACAACACATCTCTTGGAGCTCTAGTTCACCTCTCTGGTATTGTTCTCATCTGATTAATCTAGTTCTTGCCAGTTCTTCTTGAACTTCTTGTTAGATCTCGAGTCTGTATTTCTGTATCCGCGACAAATAAAGATATTTCACTCTTTTTAACAATAAAATCAATATTAGAATACAAAAAAAATAGTTTTGAATGAATATTCTACAACCTTTAAAGAACAAAAAAAAAATAAGAGTAATTCACTTACTTCTAAAAAAAATAAGAACAACAAATTAGCACTTTTATCAAAGTATCAGGGATATAAATCACAAACAATCACAATATCAATACACTCTTATGTCATTAGATAAGAGTAGATATCTATTCAAAGATAGTATAATATTAAAATTAGAGTAACTATTGCCAAAGATAAGAAGATTAAAGAGTCTTAAAACAAGACTAAAAATAAGAAATATATTAAAAAGAATAAAAAAAAGGCTTTAGTCTTGTCTCTCTACATATATTTTCTAACTAGAAGATACATGGCAACATTCTATAGGCCTTTCAATACATATACAACTTGCAAAATACATATCTAACTTGGAAGCTAAGTTTTTTATATATACAACATATGATAAACTTGTTGGCCAAGTATTCAACCTATCATTCACCTGTAAACATGTATAAAGTCATATCCACATCTATGAAGCTTCTAAAAAGTTTATCTACAAGATATTATCAAATTTTTTTATTTTAATTTATTCCTACTTAATTTCTCTTACCTATAATTGATAGTGTTGGTTATTTTCATAACATGCATCCAATAATATCAATGGAATTTATAATATAAAAATTAATTAATTAATTAATTAATTAATTATTAAATATTAAATATTAAATATATATATATATTTCTTATATAATTAATGCAAGTTAAAATAATAATTTTTTAATATATCAATATGTTTTAGTTATTTGAATATTTAGTAATAAAAATTAATTAAAAAGGTTATTTTATCTATTTTCTATATAAAAGATAAGACATTATAAACAAGTAGCTATCTTATTTCTATTCTTAATAAAATAATTTCGAACATATAAGATTTTGTTATATTTTTTATTGTCTAATTAAAATATATAATATAATTATAAACTTGTCATAAAACTACGAATTGTAGAATTTTGAATATGTTGTTATGTTCTTGTATTTTTTTCATTGTTACATATATTTATACTATCCAAAAAAATAATTTGTGCCAATAATAATAAAATTCTCTAAATGATTGTAACATTGCTAGAAATTATTGTTATAATTGACTATATGAACTTTTAACTTATACCCGCACAACAAATGAAGCTTTCAACATCATGAAGTTAAAAATTATAAACTTGTGCATGTTTGATCATGCTTCTTCACTTTGTTATTTTAACATTTTTTATTTAATAAATTTTATTTGTAAATTTTATTAATTGATGATAAAAAAATTGAAATAATACAATATCAACTTGATAATAGATCTAAGAATTTATGATAAGAAAAGAATCATTTGATTTTCTATAATAACTTGCATCAATAAAAAGCTTTAGTCTTGCGTGATATTTATTATTTGTTTTTTAAAAATATTTTTAGTATATCTTTTCAAAAAGTTTTTATATAGAATCCTTCAAATTTAATTACTTTTTGTAGATTTCACTTTGTTCTAATATCATATAAATAATCTTAATTTTATAGTGTATCCAATGGTATAATAGTGATAATAAGAATTTAAATTTATCTATAAAGAAAATTACATTTTTAATAGAAATAAATAATACTTCAAATATTTTAATATTTATAAGAATTAATATTAAAAATAAGCATAAGTTTTTTTAAATTGAATATATAAAATAAAAAAATCTTAATAATATCACACAACAATAATATTGTACCGAAGATAATATATTGTTTCAATAGTTCAATGATTCCATAATTGTATATATGATTTGAAGATAAAATTTATAATTTTACAAAGAGTAGATGTAAAATTACTTCTTTAAATGAGCAAATATAATGAATCTATGCTTTAGAACTTATTTAAGATTTAAAAAAGATAGATTTGTAATTTTTATTGTTTCAAGTTTGAAAAGACAAGAAAAAAAACTTGACTACAATGCATATATTCTAATATTTAAGATAATTTTTTTGATGTAAATATATATATATATACTTTTTTTAAAGGATACAAAATCAACATCAAAATGCATTCAATATTTTTAATTTGTGAAATCATTGTTGTCTAAAAGAACCTAAACATCTTCAAATTTGAGTGGTATCTGTCACAATTTTTTTTTTCCTTCACAAATCGTATGTTAAATAAATAAAAAAAATCATCAAAAAATGGGTATCATAGACATTCAATTACCAATTTGAAGCTATTTTTAAAGTGAAAAAACATTGTTTTATTTTTCAACAATAAAATTGTAACTTACTCTTAAATAACTTATCAGCCGTTTCAATAAAAAATTCCATGATAGTAGGATACCACATAAGAACACATTATTTATTCACAAAAGAACACAAGCTGTGGGTAAAAGATCGGGCACAAATCGCATCAAACCCAAATTACCAATTTGAATTCGATATCTTTTTTATGAAAGTGCTGAAGAGTTCCCTTCACAAAACACGGGAACAGCGGACTGGGAACTTGGGTGGCGGTGTGAACAAGGTTGCTTAAAGATTCCCTTCCTTTCCCCTTGTTATTGCCCCCTTTCCCTCGCCCTCTGCCCACTTTCCAGATAAGCTTCCGAACCAGTCAATCCAATGGGTGCTCTCTCCAAACCAGGAACCCGAGCCTCCGCAGACAGGCTGGATATTCCTTCGGGCATGCTCTATCTCACAAACCTCTCCAGTGTGAAACCGGCTCATCCGTGCTCCCTTGCTCTCGTTCGACGAAGTCCGCATGACGTGGATATCAAATACGAGGTCTCATTCCGACGTGGCTAGACGATGTTTCAAACTGACGTGGCGAACGCGATATTGGAGAGTGCTGGCGTGTGAACGGAATCGAGCGTGTTGGAGTGAGTGCATGAGAGCTTATGTGAGGGACAAAGCCCCCAAGCATCGCATTAAAATTTTGGTGCCGCTTTTGTGGCGTTCGCCAGCAGTCTCGAAATTGTCACGGATTGGAGACGTATTGTCACTGCAATCCGGGACATGTTGCGGGGAAATCGCGAAGGAAACTTTTCGTTGCTGATACGGGCCGTGCTCGGATTCCTGGTTGCGCTTTAGGTGTGTATTTGGAACTCTCCGGTTAGGAGATAGAAGCGAAGCATTAGGGTTTGATGTGGGAAGAAAGGAGCAAGGTTGAAGGAGCAGGAGTCAGCTCTGAGTAGTATCGGTCCTGGACGATAGTGGTATCGCTTATGAATTCGAGGTAATGGACGTTGTTGGAATGTGAGAGTGTGAGGGTGGGAGAAGATTGTTTCTTCATATTGCATTCCCATTTTATAGGGAGGTGGTGGTTCGTTCTCAAGGTTTCCGAAGGAAACAGAGTCGTGGGAAGGGGATGAAGGTGCGGATGCAATCGGGTTTGTAGAGAGGCGGGTGCGTAAAGTGTCGTCGTAGATTCCACGAGCGATATCACAGTTCAAGCAGCTTGAGTGAGTAGTCTGCATCGTTCAGTTGCAGGAAGTAGTGAGAGTGGAGAGTCCAGGAAGGCAAACTTGTTGGTTTTTTCTGTTGTAGTAGAGTTCCTGTTGGATTGGAAGGTGGACTTCACACCAAGTATTCTTAGCAGTACAGATCTGATTGGGGAAGGGTTAAGAAAGGAGCACTGGAGACTTGTGTTACTTTCGCCGGGAACAGTAGAACTCTGATCAGCTAGTAAGATTCAGGGAAGGAAGAATCAACAGAGATTGAAGTCTTTCTGGAAAAAATGTTTTGGCGAGTACCTGGGTTATCGACCACTTCTCCGGTGAGTTTGTCTTTAAAACGTTTTCAGGATTCTGTTCGGTCCAGTAGTAGTAGTATGCAGCTCCTTCGATTTATTCTTCTTTCTAAGGTCACTTGTCCTTTAAGTTTGTCTGAACACTCCAGAAGGGACCTAATTCCTCGTCTCCTGTCGGCACACTTTTTCGATCCATTTGGAAATGAAATAGTTAGTAGAGCAAATTTTGCTGAAAATTCGATCTTCACAAAAATTAACTAATCATTGCTGATATTTTTACGTACAGTTATAATGGCGGTTGAGACTTTGAGGTTGAGAGGATAGCTGTGTTCGTTCTCTTTTTTATTTATTTATAGAAGCGCTCTGATCAGAGTCGTCTTTCAGAGTCCATTGAAGTGTAATTTTCCCATGAAAAATGTTGTGTTCATGAGAAGCATGGTAGTGTGTGGCCATTTTCACAGTATCAGACGTCGGTAGTTTGTTCCCTTTCCGTGCGTCTTTTAATTCCTCAGGTATTCTTCAGGTCTTTCTCTTGACTGGCAGCTTGACCGTCAGTTACTTCATTGGAATTTGAGCATTATAAATGTACGTGAGATATTTGCTTCATCCAATGGGGGTAGCCGAATCTCTCATCGAAGTAGTTGTGCTTGTCTTGGTTGCAAAGTTGCTGGGAAGATATTCGTAGTTTATTAGGTCCAAACTTTTATAAGCGTGGTCTGTAAGGTCATACGATGTTATTACGAAATTAAAGTCTATGAAGACATGGAGACGTAGATTTAAAGTCGACTTTCTTGGAAGTCTTCTAGTTTTGAGATAAATTTTCATGTCAGACGCAGAATTTTGAATGTTTGATTAGCATAATGAAAGAGATCGTGTGTGATGTGTAGCTTTAAAATATACCAAATATTTGGGTAACATCGATATGGATACGTATGTCCAGGAAGAATTAAAAACTAGTGGAGCCCTCGGTAGTTGACGTAAGTACTGTGGGTCTTGATGGTGTTCTTTGTAATTTAGTGCCGGTTCACACTGGAGTTGAAGGGAAAATCCACCTCGGTTCGCAGAGAAGTTGGGGCTGGTCTTAAGGCATGTACAGAGTTGAGGACAAATTTTGAGAGATATATTTTTACTTGTCTTTTTAATTTTTAATTTTTAATTATTTCAAGACTAAGAAAGTACATTACCAATGTTTTTATCTCTCAACTTGAGCGTCCTTAGGGCCGTGTCAGAGGGAAATTTGGTTTGCTACAAGTATGGAGTTTTTTCCGGTTGGCTACGATTTTGATCGCTCGCAACTCTTTTATTTGTAATATGTTGGCATTTTAAACAGGAAGTGGTTTGTAGAAAGTACTTTTTTCACTGCACGCTGCAGTTGAATATTTGTGTATATTCGCTTTGCTGATAGGTCATTGATATTTTCTTGCTATTAGTGCTAAGTAGTGGCTGTCTACTTATGCAGGTTGAGTCGGTGCTCGACAAAGATGTCTACACCCTGGAAGAGCTCCTGGATGAGGATGAAATCATCCAGGAATGCAAAGCTCTTAATAGCCGCCTCATCAATTTGTAAGCATCCAATCCAACGGCTCTGCTCTAGCACATTCTAGCAATAGTCAGTTTTGCTGTTCATAAGCTGTTTCGCCTCAGTTGTACTTGTAGTAGTGGATTGCTGGGGTTATAGATCTTTGTTATGATGTGCCTATTGTGGTAGCTCACATGTGATTGTCGTGAGATCAAGCCTCAATTGCTTTTAGTTTTCCTCTCTTAGAAGTTGATGACTACAGTTTTAGACTCGTGCATGTTAGGTTACATGCATCACAGTAGATCTTAATGTGAGAGTCAAAATGTAGTGTGAGTGTGTATCTTGGTTATGTGCCCAATTTTCTACCTCTACTATTCTAGAATCAAGCATCTTATAGTTATCTTCTTGGTTGTCCTTAGCTTGCGTGGGAAGTCTCAAGTTCAAGCGCTGCTCCGTTACGTAGTGGAGGAGCCACCGAAAGATCCAGATAGCAAGAGTCAATTTAAGTAAGTTATTTCCAACACTAAATTATGCTCCATTTCTACAAGCTGGAAGATACTTAACTTGGAAATGGCTTCGGCGGTATTTGTACTTATTTTTATTATTATGGGCTCTGGCTTCAGTTATTTGCATTTAGATTTTATGTGTCTTTGGCAAGGTTGCCCGATTTTGATGGTTGGTTATTTACTGAAACTTTTATGTGATCATTCTTGCAGGTTTCCGTTTATTGCGTGCGAGATTTTCACGTGCGAGATAGATGTTATTTTTAAGACTTTAGTTGAGGACGAAGAGGTACTTTTCAGACATTTGTACAAAAAAAAAAAAGATTAATAATTCACTGTTCATAGCTTTAATTTAATCTCGACTTCCTCTATATAACGTATAACGATATACTGGAAAGTTGTACGGATACTAAAGTGGAGATTTTGACATGTTTGTATTAAGAATCTATGGTTACGAAGTTTCAGATTCTGCTCTCTTCATGTTACCAAGTTGCATTTATACACTCGGATGTACGAAACAAATGTTTTAAGTCATACTGGAGTTGATGTGTGCTCCGACGTTTTAGTCTTCTCACGCTCTCTTGCATTGCAGCTCATGAATTACCTCTTTTCTTTCCTGGAGCCTGATCGACCACATGGGACGTTGTTAGCTGGTTACTTTAGTAAGGTAAGTGATTATCTTTTTAACTCTGTAACATCAGTGCTATGGTGAGAGGTTACGGTAGTGTTGCTGGGCTATACAGCGTTTCTGTCTTGAACTGTTACTGCTGTTTGGTATCAACTTCAAACTTTTTCGATTCAACTCCTTTACTTTCTATTGTGTGTAGAATTCTGCAAAGTTTGGTCATGTCTAGCGATGGGATGTTTTGATGAGTGCCCTTGGTTAATATATGGATTTGTTTTTGTAGTATATGATGCATTCAAGGGAATTTGACTTGTCGGACTGACTCTTCAACGTCACAATGATGATCTTCTTGCGTTTCTAAACGTGTGCAGGTGGTCATCTGCTTGTTAATTAGAAAGACCATCCCAGTGATGCGATATTTACAAGTAAGACAGAGAGCTGTCAATGCCCTCTTTTTGTGTCCTTCCTCTCTTTTTATTCTTTTGTACATATTTAGAAATTGAGCGCTGGATAATTGCAGTTGACGTTGTAGAGTCGTAGCATATCGTAATAACATCGATTTCTATTTTGTGATGTAGCAAATTTTGTTGTTATTATGTTTTTGTTTTATTCATTTTTTCTTTTAACTTTTAATGAAAATAGTTTGCTATTTATTCCCTCCTTTGACGTCTTAAACGCTTCGTTAAAAAAAATTAGGCTTACCAAGAGGTATTCAAGAAGTTGGTTGATTTAATTGATATTACTTCTATCATGGAGGTGAGTTTCTCTTTCTCCACTTGATGGTGAAATTATTTAGTCGTCTGGAACGACGTTGTTGTTGTTGTTGTTGTTGTTGTTGTTGTTGTATTTTAATTACCGTTATTTATCTGAATGGGTGAGTTTTCTGGTTTTACAGATTTCAATCTGCATTTTAAAATTGCGAATTTGTCTGCACTTGTAGGTTTTGGTACGGTTGGTGGGTGCAGATGAACATATATATGCCGTCCATGTAGACTCATCGCAATGGCTGGCAGACACTGATCTACTCGAAATGCTTGTAGACAAACTTAGCCCGCAGGTACTTCATTCACTCACCTTCATTTCTAACGCTCTGGTTGGTGGCGGGGCCAATTTGTGGGCTAGGAAGACTGCCTAGATATTCGTGGGGCTTTTGTGACCATACTTATTTTTTCAGGCTCAGATGTTATAAAAATTAGTAGATGTCTTGGTGTAATGCACGCCTGTCACTGGAACCTTTGATGCTTTACATTTCCTGCTGGAGTTAATGAATAGCCATCCTGTTTTGTGATCCCAGCATTCTTCAGAAGTTCATGCAAATACTGCTGAGACATTATCTGCTATTACGCGTATTGCTCCATCTGCACTTGCTTCAAAACTTTCTAGTCCTAAGTACGTGTTTTATACTTTCTTCCTTTGTTTTGAGTAAATTACATGATTCATTACTGTCATTACTGTCTAGAATGTTAGGACGTAGGTTATGTTGCCTGATCTTCTATTTCGGTCTTAATTTTCGTCAATTTCTTCGTTTGTTTCCTATTATAAAGTAGTAGTGACTCACTTATCACAAACGTTAAATGCATCATGAAGTTTTGAGATCTAAATGTGACGGGAACAGTACAGTTTAATCGCAACGGTTAATTTTTTTTTTAATTTTTAATTTTTTTTAATTTTTTTTATTAATCTATTTGTTTTTGGCTTGCTTTTGGCTTCGTTTGTCTTCTCTTGGATCGTGCGTTCTAATTCGGAACCTTTGTTTGGATCGTTTCGCAGGTTTGTGGGGCGCCTCTTTCACCATGTGTTGGAAGACCCAGAGTCTAAGTCCACTCTTGTGCATTCATTATCGGTTTGTATATCTCTCTTGGATCCAAAGCGAGCCGCTAGTGTTGCAGCCGCAGGAGCCGCTCGTGGTCAGCATTTGACGGAACCTGTACCGACTGCAAACCCAGAGACAGTTGAAGGCATGCTACAAAGACTAGGTGAGTTAGTTTGATTTTAATAGGTGATGCCATGATCTTTAGTCAGAATGCACGCTATATTTTTTAGTGGAGATGCTACAATTTCTCGTTGGAGCTCTTTCTTGAAATTGCCAGTTGGAATTCAGTATTTGCAGTTAACACTGATACTTAGTCTTGCTTGTTTTTTCTGCAGGCGATTTGCTTGAAGTACTGGATGTCTCGAAAGATGAAAAGATGTTGCCGACAACGTATGGGCGGCTTCAGCCACCGCTGGGAATCCATAGGCTGAAGGTTAGGCTTGGGATTCCAGTATTAATGTGGGAGCTTTATGTTTTTATATCTGCACAATGCTCTCGCCTGTTGGATTCATTCGTTCATTTATGTATATTTTTCTTCTCCTTCTGATGCGAGTTCCTGGGCAGATCGTGGAGTTCATTGCGGTTTTGTTGAGAGCAGACAGCGGAGGCGTCAGACATGAGTTGGTCAACTCAGGAGCAATTCAACTTGTTTTGAAGCTATTTTTTGAGTACGTTCGCCATTATATCTTTTCCTTAATTGTGGTTATCTTGATTCTGATTTGTGCGAATTCAGTAGGATTTCATTTCGTATCACATTAGACAGCAGTAATTTCGAGCTTTATTCATAATATACATTAAAATTTACATTTTGAATTGGAGCAGTTATCCCTTCAACAACATGCTGCATCATCATGTGGAGAGTATTGTAACTTCATGCTTGGAGAGCAACAACCAAAAATTGATTGATCACTTATTTCAAGATTGTAAATTTTTGGATAAATTATTGGCTGTCGATGAGAATCCTTACGCTCCTGACAGTCACGAAGCGGTGAGAAACGAAACTCTATTGATTTTGTTCCATTTTTGTAATCACCATCTTATTACCATTATGCAGTGTGTGTAGTTGTGTTTGTGTGTATATATTTTATATGCGCATACACATTTCGGATTGCTATTATCGGGGGGTTTGGTCTGGCTGATGGACTAAATAAATTCATTGATTATTCCTTTTTTGGTTCACGATGGTGGCTAATGAAGTTGCAATGTAGCCTGAACGATGATATTCTTTACATATGTACCTCGCGTGGATAAGCATGTAATTTTTATGTTTGTCTGGCTTTATGTTATTCTTAACTTGGTTGTTTGAATTTGACCCACTTTATTGATCTGCAGCCAAAACCAGCAGTTAGTAAGTCACCCACAAGGATAGGGAACATGGGCCATCTTACTCGTCTCGCTAATAGGATTAATCAGGCCTCTACTTCGAATGCTAATATTCAAGGTCATGTACAGGTATATATACCTATCTTCTAAGTTGCATTGGATATACTTGTTCATTACTGCTTGCTGATTTATCCTATTGTCTTGCAGGTTAATTCAAAATGGAGTTCCTGGGTGTCAAATGTTTTGCAGCAACGGAATCTTATTGAGAATGTTTTTCAGTGGAGTTGTGGGTATGTTCCACTATCTGTGGCGATAAGCACCATTTTACTGAACTTCTTGAATTTCGTGTTGTACGAATTCCACTGTAAAAGTCTCAAGTAATCACTTCGAAGAAATGCTCATTTTAGAAATCACTACGTTGCGGGTACATTAGTCATGTAATGTAATCCTGTTGTGATTTAATGCGATATAATGTTTTCTTAATTGTTCTTATGATTTTTTGATTGTGTGTAGACGACCTACAGCTGTACAGGATCGCCCTTTGGATAGTGATGAAGATGACTTCAATAATAGAGATTATGATATACCGACTATGGCCAATAACATAAACCGTGAGGTTTATCGTTATGGCATGTTTGACAACGATGACGCTGACGAGGTATTGCATCTAACAATTTTTACGGTTTAAGGTATCGCTTCTATTCACCATGATGGTGCCACGGTTGCTTCTATTAACTGCACTGTTAGTGTTTGGCACGTTTTATGAAAAACTCTTTGTATTTCTAGTAGCATCTCATTTTCTCGATTTTGGATTTGTGATGCGCAGGGTCACGGGGCAATGGAAAGAGAGGAGGTTCAAACTTTTACAGTTTCTTATAACATCCTATCTTATAACAAAAGTTATTTCTATTGTGCTCAATATATATATATATCTATATATATATATATATGCACACATACTGAGAGGGTGTGATGTACGTACATAAAGGCAACTGGGTTTTGGTTGTATGTACAGGACACATCTTTTGACGACGAATCTGCTGAGGTCATTTCGTCGCTTCGACTTGGTGAAGAGCAAGACAGGTACTTAGAACGTTTCTGCACTAGTTTCCTATTTCCATTGTTGGGAATGTTGTCTCTTCGATCCAATGTTTCGCCGTAATCAGTGTTGATTGTTTTTTGCCTACTGAGATTATCGGATTAATGGTATTTCTAGTCGTCATTTTAAAATTTAATTTTTTTTGAACTCGTTCTATATGATTTTTGATCTAGTGGTAGGGCAGACAATATGTTTGGCTCAAACACCAACTGGTTTGCGTTTCAAGAGGACTTTACATGGTCAACAGATGAGCCTCCTCCAACATTCCATGTAACTTCACTTTCTCAGAATGAGGATGGACCAGCTTCAAATGCTCTCTCTCCTCATAATAGCAGTGGAGATAGTAGCAGTGACGACGAAGTGGTTGTCGGAGAAGATGAGGATCTTGTCGACACTGCTACTTCGGATCATGGTAGTTCTAAAATGAATGTAAAATTTGAGCCCAGTCTCGTTAATGGACTGGAGCATGAGACAAAAGGCAGTCCTACAGATCATTCTCTAGATGATACAGAATTAAGCACACAGCTTGAAAAGGTTAATCTGTCAGACAATCTCTCGTTGTTTCAACCACAACAAGAACCACTTGCAGGTGCGTCGTTTTTTGTTGCCCTCATGTTTCTAGTGACGTCTATAATTTTGGGCCGTTCGCTGTGGGGTTTTTCTTGAATATTTCATCGTTCCTCACAGGAAATTCAATCACCATGTTGGGATTTGGAACTGGTTTGCCAGCGTCTGGAATGCATATTCTGTAATCACGGACTTCGATGGGTACTGTGGTCGAGAATTTTTTTTATGGTACGCCAGTGGGGCAATTAAATTGATAGTCAATGTAATTGGTTTTTTCAGTCCATATGGAGTTAACTAAAGATGCACGTGGTTCTCCTGTAATGAAGAGTGAGAGTGTTCATTCTGAACCTGTAATTGCTCCTGTTGCCTATGTGCATGAGCTTATTCCAGCGGAAGGGCACATGATTAATCCAATGACAGGTGAACAGAATATCTTCCTAATCTCACGTGCAATCATGTCTTTTTTCAAATTTTCAAGTTCATTTTCAAGCAATTATATTCTTCAGATTACACTTTCCAGATCGGCAGGTCCATCTTCTTCATCTGGATTCAGCCTAGGGTGATTTTGTCGCGTAGAATTCAGTTGAGTTCTTCACGCCAAGATTGCAGTGCTATTTACTTAGCTTATGATTATACTTCAGGTGAAGAAATTTCAGGCGTTGAACCTAATGGTACAATCAAAGCCTTGGAAAAAATGTTGAAAGAAGGAGTTGTAGGTGAGGCTGGACCCATGTTTAAGGACGAGCATCAAGAAGGTGAACTTGATGCTCCGACAATGGATTCTGGTGCTGTCAACTCGGACTTCAATGGAGTGAATTATTGGCGCAACGGCTATTCACAGCCGGTTGTTGAGGATTAGTTGCGAGGACATATAATCCTATTTCAGTTTGTTTGTATATCTTTGATGGGTATGACTTACCGATCAGCGTGTATTAGAAATGGTTTCTTTAAGCCAGTGGTCTGTAGCCCAATTGTCCGCCCTTTAGCGTGTCTCATTATACCTTCATACTAGCATTCAGTTGAAGGAGGCAGGTAATTGATTGACAAAGATCTCATTATGTTTCCAATGTCTACAGAGACTCGTCTGCAATGCTGTACATAAGTGGCTCCCAATCAATTACTTTCGCTGTAGTGGAACTGATGGGATTGTGCAACTACGTCCTTGTGTCGTAGCTCGTTGTCTGAATATATAGCGTACCGGATTATGTACAGATTTGCAGATAGTGTAATTCTAGCACAACTGTCGCGTTGCGATTGAATTCTACGTGATTTCTAGCGTCAGTGTAATTTGCCACTATTACTAATCAGGTATGAAGCCGTTTTCATTCCTGTTTCCTCAAAAAAAAAAAAAAAAAAAAAAAAGGGTTCAATTTCTAGTAGTATATGACACTTTCAAATGTTTTTATCAGAAACAAAATTGCAACAAATTCTGCCATTTTATGGTCATAATAATTTACCATTCGTGTCTCCATCGTCTTGTCCATTCACTGCTTTACTGACATACACAGGTCATTTAAGATCAGCTCTGACTTTCCTTCAATATTATTTCAAACTTTACAGGAACGATGCCTCCTTTACCAGTGGACTAAAGCAATTCTTAGGAAAATGCATGCTCAACTTTCAAATCAGTTGCATAATACGTCAAAATCATCCATTGAAGGTAAAATCATCAAAAATGATAAATATCATTACACGGTTCCGAAAATAAATGTAACCTAAAATTTGACACCATAGCACTGCTTGATACTAAAATAAAGAGCTAATTCATTATTTACAACCCTCTGCAAGCACTTTGCAAAAACCTCGACTTCTGAACTAGAATAACATTAGATTCTGCACATAACTAATTTCCACCTGCGGTCTCAAGTCGATTGGAGAGGACAGAGCACAAAGATCATTAGATACAACTCCCAAGACCCACAGCCTCTTCACTACTAGATTCCAACAACCTAAAATGCCCATCGATGGGCCCCACCACTTTAGATACCTGACTTCGTGACCAAGCTAATTCCTCACAGCCCAGGCGAATGTCCAAAATCCACACTCTAAGACAGATTCCAGCTGCAAGGTCGAAGCAGACCCACACAACAACACAAATACTCCACTCACGTCCATTGCCCATCTGGCTTTTCATTGGCTCTATCTCGTCGACATGTACCCTAAACAATCATTGTGCTTCAAGACTCAGCACCTAGCGTTCTAAATTAGACGCGAGTGACACACGATTGACAGCAACACTAGCCCATAGAGTGCATACAACACTAGATCAAAGCGCGATTCAACAACAAATACTGGATCCGCAGTCACGAGAACTCAAGGCATCTTAATCCTCAATGTAGGCACCAGAAGATCAAATAACCATTCACTTGCAGCCAATGCAGTTATGACTAACCAAAGTGAGAAAGAGCTGTAAAAAACTACGGCGAAATTATAAAATTAATCATGGGAATTCAAACCAGTCCAAACAGTCCATAAAAGCAAGAGAGAGTACGCAATGAACAACGAAAAAAATAAACCGTAACAATCGTTGACCCAAACTCCATCCATACACTTAAAAAGAGAAATTACCTGACAACAGAAAATACACCCACAAGCTGTAATACAAATGCCATGCAGGCAGGATCCAAGCATGGGAACAACACACCTACATACAAGGCATAACAGCATACACATTCCTCGGCCAGCACGACAACACCATCAACAAATAAGAAAATCCAAAGAGTGACACAACAACAATGAGTGACAGACAACAGAAGACTGGGATTTTCATCCTTCCGCACCAACCGACGGGATGGAAACAAAGGGCAGTGTGAACGGGACAATGAGCAGGGCGCTGCCAAGTCAAGGGAGAGGGAGGGAGGGCAAAGGGAAGGGAAGGGCACAGAGGAGAGTGGGGGAGGGAGGGCGGAAGGAAGGGGAGTGCAGGGCAAGCCCCTTGCTTGATACAAACTAGAGCCCAACAGTACCCCAGTTTCACTTCCCTGAGACTCCTCCATCGCGTACTTGCTCTCTCGCCTCAACTCCACTTTTAGGGTTTCGCTTCGCAGCGCCACAGAGCCATGGCGAAGGCGTGGGGCGGTGGCTCATGGGCAGTCGAGGCCGAGCTCGCGGACCAGGAGGCCAAGGAGCGCGAGGCCGCCGTTTACAAGGCGCCGGGCGGCGTGAAGGAGGAGGCGTTCCCCTCGTTGGGGGAGTCGCTGACCACGAAGCCCTCCAAGAAGAAGAACAAGCCTCAGACGCTGTCGATCTCGGAGATTATGACCGGGAAGTATGTCGGTCCTGGTGGCAAGCAGCGGAGCTCGTACACGGAGAGCCAGAAGCTGACACCGCAGGAGTTGATGTTGCTACCCACCGGACCGCGCGAGCGAACGGACGACGAGGCGCCAGCCGGTGGGCTCGGGGGCGGGTTCAGGGATTACGGGGGGAACCGCGGGGGAGATAGAGGCGACAGGGGTGGCGATAGAGAGGATCGCCGTGGAGGATTCGGTGGAGGGTACGGGGGCGACCGAGATAGGGATAGGGGAGAAGGCGGCTATGGTCGCGACAGGAGCAGGGAGCGCGACGATGGACCCTCTCGCGCTGATGCGGATGACAAGTGGGGCGCGGCGAAGAAGTTTGTGCCGTCGCTGCCGAACGACCGCGGCAGCGAGCGCGGTCACGATAGGGGTGGATACGAGGAGGATCGCGGGCGCGGCGGGAGAGTGAGCGACCGGGACATGCCTTCGCGTGCGGACGAGGTGGACAACTGGGGGTCGACGAAGAAGTTTATGCCCGCGCCTGCGCCAACGGGCGGTGATGGGTACAGCGAGCGAAGGTCGAGTGGCAGGTACGGGGGGCATGAATGTGGAGGGTGGTTGTTAGGGTTTGGTCATTGAGGTGGTGTTCTGGCATTGTGATGGGCAGTGGCTGTGTGGGCACGAGAGGAGCAGTATGTGATGATGGAACAATGTGGCAGTTTCGGGGAGATTGGGTACGTCGGGGTTGTGGAGCGAGTATGGTGAGTTTGGAGCGGGGAAGGCGGTGGTTCTCTTAGCATTTGTTCGAGCACAATGGTACATGGCACGAGGGATGGGTCAGATCGCGGAATAGGGTACGGGTCGGAGTGACGGACCACGGGGCAGCAAAGATGCAGAGTTTTTTTTTTTTTTCTTTCTTTCTTTCTTTTTTTTCTTACTTTTTATTATTTCTGGGAAGGGTGCTGTGAATGCGTGGGGTGGCGGTTATGGGCAGAGGTTGAACACCATCAGACGCGTTATGATTGTGAGTGGGTTGGCAGATATGACGAGCGGAGGGTGAGCATGGGAGGGTTCGAGGACCACCCTCGCGGTGGAGATCGGGACCTGCCGTCTCGCGCGGACGAGGTGGACAACTGGGGCAAGAGTAAGAAATTCGTGCCAAGTGCTGCTCCGCCAAGCCGGGGTATGGGGAGCGGATTCGACTCGACATACAGGGAGGCTGGTGCGGATGCCGATCGGTGGGCACGGAAGGACCCTGTAGCTCGAGATCCGGAGCAGCCTCGGATGTCCGAGAGGCCCCGGCTGAAGCTGGCGCCACGGAGTGTGCCTTTGGACAGTCCACCCCGGCCCAGCTCAGCCGACGTGAACGGGGAGAAGGGTGGAGGCGGCGGGTTGGAGGGTGAGCAGCAGTCATCTCCAGCACAGAAGCCGAAGCCGCGTCTGAATCCTTTTGGGGCGGCTCGGCCTCGGGAGGAGATATTGGCGGAGAAGGGGCAGGACTACCGGAAGATCGACGCAGAACTGGAGGTGCCTCGGGAGAGGTTCGGAAGGCCGGGGAGCAGTCACTCGACCCGGCCTGGGAGCAGTCAGTCCACGCGGGTTGGGAGCCGACCAGGAACCCCCGGGGGTGTGTCGAGCAGACCTCAGACCCCAGACGTGCCTCGAGCGAGAGCTGGTTCAATTGGCGAGGCACGACCGAGGGACATGAACGTGATCGAGGAGAGGGGCAATGACTCGCAGACGCTGAACGTGGATCTGGAACGGCAGCTTGCTTCGGAGAGGTAGTTTTGACATACTTATGGAGTATGTATGACCCGTTCTTTGGATGGAGATTTGTTTTTGAACTATTTCATGCGCTTTACCTGTTTAGTCTAGCTTTTAATTGGTGTTGTTTGGTTATTAACTCGACTAATTTCTATTTGGTCATAATGCGACAAACACTTTACTAGCTTTGAGTATTTTCTGGTCTCATTGATCTTATTGTGTCGTGTAACGGAACTTCCGAGTATGTGAGCTTTTTTTTTGGTTGTTGTGTGTGTGTGTGTGTTTTTTATTTTTATTTTTATTTCTTTTATTATTATCTTTTTCTTTTCTTTCTTTCTCCTACTCATGCTTGTTTTTTTGTTTTTCTGTTTTTTTAAATTTGTAAGACTACTTTCTGAGTTTTTCACGCTTTGTTTTCTTGTTGAATTCAGTGGTAACGAGGGCCTGGATTAAAGTGCTTCTAGTTTTGAAGTGTAATTGTCGAGGTGTTAAATTTCCTGAGACGTATTTAGTTTCATCTAACGTTATATTCTGCAATGGAGTATGTAAGCCCACAAATTTTCGGATAGGTAATTATGCAATGATCAATATAATGGTCACTATAGAGATTACTTAGGTTTTGACGTTCCCTGCAGTCGAGAGCTTTGAACCGCTAGTGTTTACGGCTGCGATATTACGGGACAACTGTGATTTTGTGGGTGCTGTAGGCAGTCTTAGGTCTTTTGTAACCTTAGTTACCTTCTTTACTTTAATTTATTAAAATTTGGCGACCAGAAATAACGTTCGTTCTGGGTCGAAAGGTATATTATATGTATTGAGTAGACTACTTCCCTTGTTCTTATGCTATAATTTTTTTGTTAGTAGATTTTCTAGGTACACTCTAGGGTTGAAGTTTGTTCTCGAGTGTCTGCACACATTGGCAGTTCTCATGTTTTCATTTTTGTTATTCTCCTTGCAGAAATTGGTGTAGTTGAGTGGCATTTCTTATGCTTTGGTTTAGTTGGTTTCCTACCAAACTTTTGAGCTATGCATCCGCATTCAGTGAATCTCTTGATTTGTACCATCTTGGCTTTGGAAGAAAATTTCAATTCGATAACAAAACCCAGTCTTTCGTGTGGATGAATTCCGGCAACAATTGCAGTGCTTCTCATTTCACTACCAGGACAGGTGCTCGATGACTGCATTAGCGGACATTCTACATGGTAAACCGGCGGGTCAACTATTAAGCTTTAACACGGCAATCTCTAAACTGCCTTTAGTGTCCTTAGCTACTCAGCTGCTATCATTGTCAAGCTCCTGAGAAATAAAGAGTATATTGCAAGTTTCTGGTGTGTTGATGTGGTTTGTCAATCTACTAGCCGAGGCGCCTGACTATGAATATAGTTGTGTATCTAACAGTTGTCACGAGCTTGTCAATTTATTTGGTCTTGTGAACAGCACTGTGCCGAGTCGTTTTGTATCTTTTACTGTACCAATTCATCCAAAACGAATGCATTGAGAACAAGTAACTAAAAGGCTTGCATGATCCAGTGCCTTGATAATGTTACAACAAGAATTTGAATGAAAAATATCTCCTCTCAATCATCGACACTTTTTCAATAAAATAAGAATCATGATAGCAGTGAGTAACATAGAAATTTGTTGGTAACTAGGTTTAGCACCTAAATCAAGATATGTGTATATATATATATATACTTCCAAATCAAATTGTCCATCAATAGTTCATTAGTCATGAGTTTAAGAATGATGTAAACAAGCCGTGAAATTTGTTACATAGTTGAATTGAATTGAATGTTCAATTGAATGTTCAAAGACTAGAATTGCTACTACAAGATTAAGAACTATTTGTTTAAGATTTTCAAGTAGCACTAAGTAAAAAAACTACAATAAAAAAATAATAGAAATGACTTACTAGTTTTAGATTCACTTTCTTTATTTTTAATATTTGTATCTATATTCAATAATGAAATTTTAGCATTCTCCATAATGTCACCTAAATTTGTTCTTTATTAAGTTTTTAATAAACCGGCTAACCAACAAACAAACAATAGTTTACTTTTAGACAAACACACAATATCCATACAATAAAAAGTTATCTATAGAAAAGAAATCTTAGATAAAAATAAGAATTTTGTAATTTAAAAAATTAAATTGTACCAAAGCTTCTAGAATTTGGAAATGGAACCAAAGCCAAGAAAGCTATTTGACGAGGTTGTTGTAATCCATTAGTAATTGTAGTGTAATTCAAAAAAGTGTTTATAGAGATACATATCATTGTTTATTATTATCATTATTATTATTTATATTATTATTGATTTTTTTTTTTGGATTTTAAGAACTTGATTCTTAAATTTTATATTTAAGATTTTCAATAACATTAAAATGTTGCATGTTAAACAAATTTGATGGATAAGAGACAATCTTTAAATTGTGGCTTCAAAAATTGGAGTATCAAAAACACCATTTAATTACAAAGACAAATACAAAAATGTAGAAGATTTTTGATTGTACCAAACCAAAGATGGCAATATATAACCATCTATCTTTGAAGTGAGTTTTTCAGAAAGATGTTTAGGAAAATTGTTATTTTTTTCTCTTTTGAATTTATTTTAGAAATATAGAAATTGACAAAGATATAATGCAAGTAGAGATAATATATCTCACTAATCACATTATTATTATGGGTAGAAATTTTTCTCCATATTAAGTTTCTAAATGAATTGCTTAACTATCTAATAGCATCTAACTAATCTTGATATCAAGCAAAACTTGAGCAAATAATAATTCTATTCAAACATGAGAATAAAGGAAAAAAAGTTTGCTATAAAAAGTAGATAGAAAATTAATATAGATATTATTAATTATATTATTCAAAAAAACAAAAAAATATAAAAAAAAATGATTGATTGCAACAACTTATATGGATATTTTATTTAGAATTATTACACCACACTAAAGACTACAAAAAATTAGCTATTACAAAGGCTAGGTAAGGAAAGATTAATATAAAGAAAATTAGTCTATTATAACAATAGTTTGAATATTTGAATAAAATACTAGCAAATAAAATTGGGCATGAAAGTATTTTAATAGTTAAACAATTCTTCTACTAAAATACAAACATCTACAAATGTATATTAGTAGAAAGAAGAAACAACCAAAATAGACGAAGATTCAACAATCCAAGAATAAAAACTCTATGGGCAAAAGAAAATAATGTGACTTATAAAGTTGAGACTTATTAATCTTAAAACCAAAAGAAATAATAGATCATTGAAAGATTTGTGAATCCATTTTTTAAAAAAGAAACGTTGGTATTATATGAGATTTTCAACTTAAAAAAAAAAAAAAAAAAAAAAAAAAAAATCAATCCTAATAACATGTAAGAAAATTAGTGCTTCAAATATTACATTAAAAAAATGTAAATCTTTTAATGTAATTAAAATTATTAATATAAGATATTATAGAAGGACTAAATAATTGAAATCTAATAAACTTCCAACAAGACAAAGTATTTGATAGTCTAATACTAAACTATGACCAAAACTATTAACATGATTAGAAAAATTATCATTAGTATATCTAATATAACAATAGATTATAAATTTATCTATATATTAGAATTATGTGCTTTAGATTCAACACCTTTTCATAATTTAAAAAACTATATTAATTCAATCTCTCAATTAATATCTGATATAGATTATATATTGGAAAAATAACCTAGTTCAAAACACTATTACAACAAAATTATTTTATACATCCAAAAAATAGGTATTTAAAAAAATAATGAGCAATAACTAGTTATTTCTTGAAGAACAAAAAATAATCAAGGAATTACAAAATGCATCACAAAAATGATAGTAAAAAAATACTAATAGTAATACAAATAATCCATAAAAATTTAGCATTAATTGAATTCAATATTAAATTAATGTGCTATATTAAATTTGATACATAGCAACGAAATTTGAAAAATAAACCAAAAAAAAAGAAGTTAGCATTATGCATAAGTCTTATGGTACCAAGATCAAAGGATAGGTAGTCAAGGCCCAATATTAGGTATGCTACATACATTGAAGAATAGAATTAGAAGAAAAGCCTACTTCACATGACAAAAAGTCATCTTAGATTGTTACTATAGAATTTATATAGAACTACAGACATCATCTAATTTTAAGAATTAAGCTACTAATAAGCAAGCCAAACAATGCAAAGAACATGTCAAATAATAAAATTAAAACACTTTGATATCATATAAATATTTAGAATAATATATATATATATATATATATATGGAATATGTATGAATAATTTGGAAGCAATAGAATTGAACTTAAGGAAATTGTTATAAATGAGATAGAAGCCATAAAAGTAATATCATATGAAAGAAATACTAATGAGTCTAAATTTTTAATTTTTAATTATTAAATTAAATAAGATATGAAATCAATAAATCACATGCTTATTTAATTTTTTTATCTAATTTCTAAAAAATTTAAAAAGAATTTCGTATATAAGATGAATACTTATTTTTTTAAAGATAATAAACTCATAAATTATATTTCATGCATATATGAAAATGTCAATCAATGAATACATTTCTTGAATTGATTTAAAAAAGAATTATAATAGATATTTCATCTCATTTAAATAAATAAAAATAAGTAGAAAGAAATAGAAGTAGGTAAAAAATGTTAGAAAGACAATGTTTTCTTTATAATGCTTTGAGAAAGTTTTTTTTAATGTAACTTAGATATTTAGAATTTTAAAGATATGTCACTTAGATATTAAAATTTGTATCATATACTTCTTATTTTTAGTTAGTTTTATTGAAAGCAACTTATAATTAGATGCTTGGAACTACCTTCTTTAAAAAAAATATCATTTAGTAATCGAGACAATATATTATTGTTGTTTAATTTGACTTGTATATTTGTTAGTATTGTCTATTTTTAAGATAAAAGAAAAAAAATATAATTGTTATATTTTGTAGATGTCAAAAATAATTTATAACTATTGCAAATCTTCATGAGTTTTTTCATATTCTTTGAGATTTTTCTTATATACTAGCAAATTCAATCATAGAAGCACTATTGATATGTATATAGAAGAAATCAACAATGAGATCTAATGATTGCACCAAGAAATCATATAGTTAAAAGAAACAAGTATAATTAAATCAATCTTACAAGCAAATCTTATGACTCTTTTTACTACAAGTATGATGGAGCCAAATATTAATTTTCTAATAAAGTTTGATATCACAAGATCAAAATTTTAAGGTTTTTTTACAAAAAATTTAGTCTAAAGATAAATTTATTCTTTAATCCAATATAAAAAATGGCCTCAATTAAGAATTATTTGTAATTAGTGGTGCAAATTGAAAAAAAAAATAACAAAAAATTTAAAAAGAAGAAAAAAAAAACAAGTGAAAGAATGACAATCAAACAAATATTTTCTCAAAAACTTATCATAGTCTATTTATTGGATTTTTATTCAATATAAGATAAAAGATAAGAAAAAAATAATTTTTTTGTATATAATTTTTTTTCAATAATATAAAAAATATATAATTATAAGTACTATAAGTAAGTTATGAAGGTTTAAAGATAGGAAATAAAAAATAAAAATAAAGTAATTGGATTTTACCTCAAGGATAATTTGCTTAAGTTTTCTAAGATTTGAACCTCATTAATGCTCAAAAGTGGTGTTTAAGTTATTTAAGAAGAGTCACAAGGCCTTAGTATTATCTTCCTACCTACATCTAAGATGTTATAAGCCATATGAGACATATGCACTTCCCTT